GCAAACTGTACAGTGATACATTATACAATTTCTAACAAAAGGTATTCTCTCCAATTTTTTAAAGATGTACAGCTTCACAGGTTTAAATTTTAGTAAGGTAGTATATTAACTTCCTAATACTGTATTTGTGCTTATCTATACTGAATCAGTCTTTGAAATGAAATTGAATACTGTAGATTTACAAAATACCAGTATTAATGAATGTGGGTTACACCATTCTGGTGTGATCCACACTGCTTTGCTCCTAAGAAATAGAGGAATGCTTGTGTTTACTGAAATTGAGACTAATAAAAAACCCTCTACCTCGTAGTCACCCTTTCTTCAAACTGAGAGACAATCTAACAAAATACTGTTTTAAAATAACTTTAAAACAATCTACATAGTTCAAATGTGGTATCTGAAAATAGAAACTCTCCTCTATAATTTTGGCCATAAGAGCCTTTGAATTTTTGACAGTAGTCTCCAATTGTAACAGCCATCACCTTCAAAAATGTAAAAATCATTAACATGTGTCACTGGTACTGTTAGTATCTATGGCTCCTGAGATTAAGGTCAATTGGTAAAGGGAGTAAACAAATATTAGTTGGTAAATCTTGACAAATTATAGGAGCTGAGGGTGTAGTTCAGGGGTCAAGAGATCCTAAGCACCACCAAACAAACAAAAGACCCTAAACTTGTGTATTTATTTACTTATTTTAGTGCCGGGGATCGAACTTGGGTCCTTGCATTTGTGAGGCAGGTGGCAGCACCACTGACTCCCCAGCCCCCTAAACTTGTGAATGGAAACCCAACAATTATAATTATTTTGAACTGCTGATTTAATTAACTGTGCTATCATCTTGAGTCTTGGGTCTGGAATACTTTTGGTCTTCCTATTTGTCTCCTCCTCCAATTCCCACTTTTCCTCCCAGAAATTGTTCCACAGGGCACAGTTAGTTACATACATGGTACACAAGAAACAGACAAAGCAAATGTTCATGGCTGGGCCAGTTTCTACTATGCAAAGATTTCACTGAAATGTGACTGTTAGTCATCGTATTGAAAGGGTGTTGAGGCTGCCTCCCTCCTTAAAATTAGCCTCATTACAAAATCTGTAGGATTTTTCAGGTAAAAGTCTCCCAAAGAAAAGTTTTCATGCAGTTCTGGGAACTGAAAGCAACGTGAGAGGAGGAAGTGAAGTGAGACTCTTTAGAGCCATTAGCTAACACATGTAACACACAGAGCCAGGAGGCAGCATGTGTTTCTGCCATTCACCAAGGATGAACATCTTCAAATTAGAACCAGGCTATTCTGGTTGAAAATATATCTTTAAAATATTTTAGCAGTGTTTCCAAGTCAGCGATTTAATTTACTCCACAGTCAGGCTCATTAGCATACATCTATAATAGTTTACTTTTTCCGAGATTGTTTAAACACATGAAAACAGCCTAAGATGATGTGACTCTGTTACGTCCTTAATATACTTGTGCCATGGTGCTACAAAAATCCTGCAAATGTAAACACTAGTAAAATATATAACTGAACAAGCCAGTGAGAAGGGGGCGCTCTGACAAATTTCAGTCCAAGGGTTGTATTGTGAATAATGTCTGTTCTGTAATTTTATACTTAATGTATAAAGACAAACTGTCAAAAATCATTCAAACTGTGGTCACGATACTTGTTTCACATAAGTTATGACTACTGCTATTTAGCTCAGTGGCGCCATGCCTGCCTTGCAAGCACAAGGTCACAAGTTCAACCCCCAGTACAAAAAAGAAAAGTTGAGTATTTCAATACACTAGGAAGCAAAAACAAAATGGAATAACCTAAAAAAAAAAGTCATTTATATTTTAAGCTAGGAAAAATCTGAATTTTAAAATCAAAAGTGCAGAAAGTTTTTCAGTGCTGAAGTAAGCTAAATTACCAGAAGTGGAGGGTCTCCCTGTCTGCCTCATTCCCGTTCTCAAGCTCAAGCGCTGACATTTTTTCCTCGTGTTCTACCTTCTCTGTTCCTTGATGATAGCCCTTCAATGGAGACTTTAATAAAATTCTGTATAGAGGATTCCACAACAAATTTAAAAGAGTTATATGCCACTAGAACAATGACAGGTTTAGGGACAGCAGTCTGTCTCATGCTATATTAATTATATCAAAGCTGCCATAGCTGTGTCTTACACATGACTATGCAAGGCTTGATAAACAGTAACATCATACAAAAATAATTTTACAAACCAGCTCTCCCAGCTTGTTTACTTTCCTAGGAATACAAAGCTTAAAGCAAATAAAAATTACGGTTTTCTCCCCAAGAAAAGAGTGCAACAGTTTAAAGTTAGGAAATGCAAATATAGGCAGCAAAAATAGGAAAAACCTCCCATGTTTCCTATCTGCTTGTCATTTTTTTCCCCAAAGTCCTAAAACACTTAGTAATATGAAAGGAAATGAAATAGTAGCACACTCTCCTTAATTATAATGAAATGGCTCAAAGCTCAGAAGAGAGGTGGGCAGCCAGTGTTACATATATTTCCATTATATATAACTGAAGCTTTGAAACTAAGGTGATTACATCATCTAGACACATATAGGTATGTCAACGGTAGAACTACCACGGATAGTAAAAACCACTTCCTAATAACTGATGTGAAAACAAGTGTATTTTCTAAGTATGTTATGAGTGGGAACAACAGAAGATAGGACTAGTTTTAAGATTTAGGAGCTAAAGGTGTTCTCCAATAGAAGTCCTTCTTATGAGCTTCTATTAAATAATTAACAGTGCTTGGCACAGGGGCTTAAGTACAGAAAAACTGGTATTAGTATAGGAAGTAAATGAAAACTTACAACATGATTCAAAGTTAACACCTTAAAGGCTATAGATAAAATAGTAAAGAGAGATAATCATTATTGCTTGGGGAGGCTATTCCTGAATAATTAGTTTTACCTACAATAAAATTTTCATTCCAGGGGAGATTTTCCTCTGTGCCTCCCTCCTTCACATCCAGTGGGCAATCTCTTACAACTGCTTAGCCTATATATTCTGAAATTGCAAGATGAGGTGAAAAGTGGATGGCAATTCCAGCATGGTTAACTGCTAACGATTGAAAACTGATTATAGAGTACTACCTTTCCTTGAAACTTTAATCCAGTAATTTAAAATGTGATACAAAGAAATATATAACAGATTACAAGCTATTGTGGATCTGGAACATGAGCCTTATATTACATTACACATTCTAATCCTACACATGACTATCAATAAACATCATTATTTAAAACATCACTACACAAAGAATCCCACAAAGCATACATTCAAACAAGAGGCATCTAAAGATTAAAAAAATTACCCGCTGTATTTTTGTATAAAAATAATCAACATTTTCTAATGTACACAAAGCCAAAAGATAAATATCTGTGATGTCTTTAGTGACATCTTTAATTTTCTACTAGCTCAACAAAATCTTTTGGAAAAGAGCAGTGAAAAATGACTTAAACTCATGGGCTCCATTTTTCTTCACTTTCTGAGTTCCCATGGCCAAATTATCAGTGTGTGTTCCTTCAATTATTAAAATGTTTCAGTGCTGGGCCTTGTGGCACATGCCTGTTATCCCAGCACTCAAGAGGATGAGGCAGGAGGACTGCTATGCGTTCAAGACCAGCCTGCGTTTCATAGTGAATTCCAGGGCAGTTTGAACTACACAGTGAGATCCTGTCTCAAAAAATAAAAAAACAAAAATATTTCAATTGTGGTAAAGATATAAGAAATGATTAAAACAAAACCTTCATAATCTTCTGAAAAGCTTTTGATGTCCAGAACTATAAAGCTCTCAGTATTCCATGATTTTGTTTTAGTGTCACAACTCTACAAAAACCTGTTCGGTGAAATAAAAAATTTTTAAAAATTAGATATGATCATCCGAGAGAAATCACTTTGTAAATGCTTTGCAGGGAGCATGCAAAGATTTAGTAAAGGAAAAGGAATGTGCATGCTAGCTAGACTCAGCATGTTCAATATTAGACAAAAAAAAAAATCCAAAGATCAATCACACATCCACTGCAAATTTTTCTGGCCAGAAAAAGATGTAATGGATTATCAATATAATTATGCCTTCATGAGTGCAAAGGAGCACAGAGGTATGAAAGATAATATGAATCAGTAGTATTTGAGGGTCAAATTATTTATAAGCTAGTCTTTATTTTTAAGCCAATTTTATGTTTTCCCTCCTTTGTGTATATATAATTTGGAAAAATACTTCAGAACATTAATACTATCTGAATAATACTTCCATTGTATATGTATTCCTTGTTATGCCCCATTTAAAAAAAACTCCCTCTGGGTGAAAAAGAGCAACATTTATCACTCCTTCCTCATTAGGGTTTCTCAACCTATCACTGTTGGCATTTTGGATCAGACAATTCCTTATAATGGAAGGCTGTCCTGTACACTGTGGGGTATTTAAGAATGTCTCTAGCCTCTTCCTACTAGATGGCAAAAGCAACCTCAAACTGTGACAACCAAAATATTTCTAAATGTCCCCTGGAGAGCAAAACTGTCTTCCATTAAGAACTCTACTCTAAATTAGAAAAATTGAGAGAAAAATTAACTTTGTCACTCAAGCCAAATTCTTAAAAGAAACCAACTCTTGATCTCTGTATCAGTATTATTCATGCTAGCATACAATATTTTCTTAGAGACAAAGTATTTGTCGGGCTAGGGATTTGGCACAGTGGTTCCACCACCTCCCTCACAAGTACAAGGGCCCGAGTTCAATCCCCCATACCAAAAAAAAAAAGTATTTGTCTAAAAGATATGATTTTTAAATTCAATCTGATGTTTCATTATATATGATTCCATTAATGGACACCTAAATCATTCAATATCTATATGACAATTTGTAGAAAATTAATAGGGTACAAAAATGTGTAAGAAAACTAAATTAAAAGAAATGTAAATCATCAAATTACATTTAAAAGGATTCTTTATATTAATGATAAAATCACTTTTAAAAAAATTATCTAGTATAACATGTTTCTTTGAAAAATACCATGGCCCTCTATAACAAGTCTTTTAATGTTGCATGTAACCTGTAAAATTAATTTCACCAATGTTGGCTAATTATGAAATGTACAATGAATATACCTGTAGAGGAAATATCAGCATTTAATAAAGAGATCTCAATGTGCTTGGCCATCCACCATAATAAGTGTAGTATTTTAGTCCAAATTAGGCCTTTACCTTACAAGTTTGTTTAAGAACAATAAAACTGGTGTTATATTAAAGGCCCATGTGCATGTTAAGACTCCTTCAGAGAGTTGATGCGTGCACAGATCTTTAGAGCTGGGCCTAACTTAATATTCATTGCACTCATGAGATGGTCTTCTTTTAGCAAAAGAAGGGCCTGTCCATCAATCTCTTGTGCTCTGAACTCATCTGCAATATCCTGGCAGCCTGGAATTTGATCAGAAGAAGGAGGTTAAAATTAAACACACAAGAATTAGACATTACTTCTAACAGTCACATTTATGCTCTCACTGGATCTGAGGATGTGAAATACAAGCTGATAAGTGAAATTTACTTAATAGTATTCTAGGATTCACCCTTCGAAAAAGAGTATTTGTTCACATTCAGAAAATAAGAATTAATTTAAAATCAAGCTCAAGCAATTTACTTGGAATTCTTGCTCTAAAAATAATACTGTAAAAATAGTAAGTAAAAATGTACAGTGATCAATCTATATATAACACTTCCTTCACAGAAAGGACTATGGTGTCACCTCAAAAAATGCTACAAATGCAGGTTTGGATTAACCAATTATAGTTAATTTGTCTTTGTCCCTCACATATAGGCACAGAGAAATAAAATATAATGCTCTGCCACACAAATAACAATCTGGAATATTTTCTCAAGTATCAGAGTATCACTTTCATTATCATTTGCATTTTAATTTATGATCTTTATGCCAGCTACTTCTAAAATATTTTTATTGTACACTCAAGATTGTAGTATCAAGCCAGGTGTGGTGACACACACATACACCTGTAGTCCCAGCACTTAGGAGACTGAGATAAAGAGGATCACCACAACTTCAAGGCCAACTTGAATTACACAGTGAGACCCTGCCTCAAAAAGAAAAAATTGCAGTGTAAGAACAGTGCTGCTAAAATATATTACACTGCTCAATTTATAATTTCAAATGCAAGTCTATCATTGAACTCATCTTCATTTTTTATAACAAAACAAATTTTCACTGAAATTACGAGATTGCAGGCTAATCTCCAGCCAAATAGTATCAGTTTTTTGTCTAAAATGTGTGCTTTTGGGGCCGGGGATTTAGCTCAGTGGTTCCAGCGCCTGCCCTGCAAGCGCAACAACCCGAGTTCGATCCCCGGTACCAAAAAAAAAAAAAAAAAAAAAAAAAGGGGGC